CCCATCAAGCACATTATTTTATCAACTGAAGTTATTGAAGTTCCATGATTTGGTAGATTTCAGTATTTTATCAGTTATGTATAGGGCTCAAAATAACACATTACCATTAAATATCCAAAGAAATTTTGTTAAAAGACAAAGTTGTTATAATCTTAAGGGGATAGAGATATTTGTCAAACCAAAATTCAGAACTAGTCTGAAGGGAAGGTCTAACTCAATCCAAGGAATTAGATTGTGGAATGGTGTAAAGAGTGATGTTAAAAATGCCAAGTCAATGTGTACATTTAAGAAAAAGATCAAAGCTGAATTGTTAAAAAAAATAAAATAAAGTAGCTTAATGTGTTTTTTGTATTAGAATTAGAAAAATTAAGACAGTTTTTTGTATTAGAATTAGAAAAAATTAAAAAGAGTTATTTATTTTGTTCTGTTACTTGAAAAATTATTGTGATTGAACTAATTGTGTGAAAAAGGGGCAGATATAATAAGATTTTTTTCTTCTTCTGCTGCCTTTCATTTTAAATCTCTTGTATTTTTTATATTGTTATGAAATTGTTTTGTATTTTTTTTAAATGAATAAACTTTATACCAAATAGATCTTGTGACATTGCAGAAGCTTATCAAAACAAGCCACTTCAATATAAAAATTAGAAAGCATATCCTGATTCTTGATCCTAGAAAGCATAGTTTCCTCAAATGATACAGGTGGCTAGTTTACATATACATATATATAGTGGTGACCATTTAGGATTTTGACATGGCAACCCATTTTTCAAAAGGAGCCTTTCTTACACCTAGATAAGGTAAGATAGATAAGGTGATGAGTCATATGAATGTGAACTAAAAAGCACTGATTAGTCTCTATAGAATGATTTGTTCAGATTATCTTTGTAGAGATGTAGTAGAGTGCTGTATGAATGTGTGTGGAGACAAATGAGGGTACAGATTGTATTGTAAAGAGCTTTGAGTATCTTGATTAGATAGAAAGGTGCTATATAAGTACAGTCCATTTACACACTTCTCTCCATGATTATGACTTAAGTTCCTGTCCATGAGCACCACATACAAGAGAAGAGAAAAAGAGAAAAAGATCAGCCCTGGCAGAGTCCATCCCATACTGAAAACAAGTTCATCTTCATGCCAAGAATGTGGAGACAGCTCCTTCTTTGGTTCTACAGGGATTGGATAGCACTTAACATAAATCCAAGCATCCCATACTCTTGCAGCACTCCCCACAGAAAGCCTGAAGGAACATAGTCATAAGCCTTCTCCAGATCTACAAAACATGTACACTGGGGAGTCAAACTTCAATGACCCCCTTAGCAGCTCTACAACGGCAAAGATTTGGTCCACTGTTCCACGACCAGGATAGAAGTCATACTGTTCCTCCTGTATCAGAGGTTTGACAATCGGTCAGAGCATCCCTTCCAGCACACTGGAGTAAACTTTCCCAGGGAGGCTGAGAAGTATGATCCCACGATAGTTGGAACACACTCTGTGGTACCCCTTTTTAAAAATGTGAACCACCACCCCAGTCTGCCATTTGACATTGATGAGACATGTCAGTCATGACAGCGCTTCAACATCCAAAAGGAATGATGGGCAAATTTCATCTAGCCCTGGCACCCTGCCACCAAGGATTTTTTTTTTATTACTTTGTTGACATCTTGATAAGATTAATGAATCCTCGTACTTGTGTCCTCAAAGGTGAACATGGTGAATAGCTTAAGAAGATCCTTATAGTGCTTCTTCTACTCATCAACAATCTTCCCAGTCCAAGTCAGCAGTTCCTAACCCAAAGCCAGCATAACCAGGGATGGGGCCCCTTATCTTTTACTGAGTCACAGAAAAGTTTGCCAGAACCCCCTTGAGGCCAACCCAATGTCTTTCTCCATGGGCTCCCAAATTCCTTTCATGTTCAAGTGTTTGCATCCACAACTACAGAAGCTGCGGTCTTTCAGGTCACCCAATACCTTTCAGCTGCTTCCACCCAGAAGACCTCTTTCTTCAACTAGACGTCTTCTACCGCTTTACTTTAATACTGACCATCTTCATTGTATGGTGCGCTTAAGGAAAAGATCATGATCCTTTTTAAATTTGACAGGCCTGTCGTCATAGTAAAGCGGGGGTGTAGTCACTGCAGTGAAGTGTGGAGTAAAATGTTGGATGTGAACAGCAGCATCCAGCAGGGTGGGCAACAAGAAGGATGTGTGACAGTTACTGGACTGAAGAGGCATTGATGCAAATGTGGCTGGAGATGGTTCAGAAAGGGGTCTGGTGCTGAATCTAAGATCACTGTTATACAGGAACACCTGGAGAGCTGGTGCAAGAACAATACCCTTCACATCAATGTGAAGAAGACAAAGGAAATGATCGTGGACTTCAGAAGGAACCCCCACCCCCCCACCCCACCCGAATACAAGAGGATCTGCAGTGGAAGTGGTCTTCAGCTACAAGTACTTGGGTGTACACATGAATGACAACTTCAGCTGGGGCAACAACACCACCAGCCTGATCAAGAAAGCTCATCAGAGACTCTACTTCCTCAGGCGGCTGAGACAAGCTGGTCTGGGAGCTCAGTCCTCACCTCCTTCTACAGGTGTGCAGTGGAGAGCATCCTGTGCTCCAGCATCAACGTGTGGCATGGAGGCTGCACAGCTGCAGAAAGAAAAGCTTTGCAGAGAGTGGTGAAGGCTGCACAGAAGTCTGTTGGAGTCAGCATTCCCACCATCACCGACATCTACACCTCCAGATGCAGGAAGAGGGCCGCCTGCATCATGAAGGACCCCACTCACCCAGCACACACACTTTTTGCCCCACTCCCCTCAGGAAGGAGGATGAGCAGCATTAAGTGTAGAACCACTAGACTGAAGAACAGCTTCTACCCTGAGGCTGTTACACTCATGAATCTCTAACCAGAAAAATCACTGTGAAGAATCACATCATGTTGCTGCTGATTTGTTTCATGTTGCTGTGTTCATGCCTGCTCATCTGCTCACACAGACTCATGTTCATGCTGCTGTTCGGCGTATTGTTTTTATGCTATTAGTGCTTAGTGTATATGTAGTTGATGTTTTTTTTAGTTCATAGTCTTAGTTCATATCTTAGATCTTATTACTGTTTTTCTTTTACATTTTATTGTTGGATGTAACTGGGACCCTGTGAACATAATTTCGCTCCACCACATGTACCCCATGTGGTGGCAGTAAAGAATATCTGTATCTGTATTATGGCCTGAGGCTATCTGTTTGCATAAAACTGTGCAGTTACAGGTTGGTGATTTGCTGACCCAGCTGTGCAGTAACGCATCTGAGATTGGCTGGCCTCTCATGTGAACATCCCTCTGCATCCTGGTTGGACTGTTTGTCTCCTGCTCCTCTAACCACATAAGATTCTTGTCTAAGTCCAGCTCTCCTGCCATTGACTGTAGCTGTAGTTTAGACTGAGCAGCTCACCATTCGTATGGGTGTCTCGGTGTTTCAAAATGTTTTGACCTTGGCTAATTCAGTACCAGTCTAGAATATAATGTTGCTTATAGCAAATTCTAGTAAAGTTTGTGGCCAAGTGTTTGGCTAAAGTTCTATCTCGTTAGGGCAACTGTTAAAACTGGTTTAGAACGTTTCTGGAGACAGGCCCAGAAAACTTAAAAGAAGCCATAGTTTTGACTTGAATAATTTTATTTTAAGGTTAAAAGCTTTGCCTTTTTGATCTTTTGTTTGTTTTAGAGAGATTGTGTCATTTACTTTCCCTAATACTTTGTTAATCAAGGTTGTGTAATATTGTTTCAAGATAGTTTTAGTAAAATACAATTTAACATAGATGGTTGACTTTTATTTTTGTTGGTATATTAATTTTGTTAGAAGTTATATTTGTAAACCACAATAATTGGTAATGTAGTACTTCAGAAGTACCCTCTTGTTGTTCTATTTCATTTGTCAAAACTTAACTGACAAATAATAAACCATCCATCCATCCATCCATTTTCTTTACCCGCTTATTCCATTTTGGGTCACGGGGGTCGCTGGTGCCCATGTCCAGCAATCACTGTGCGAGGGGCGGGGGACACCCTGGACGGGTCGCGAGTCCATCACAGGGCCACATAGAGACAAACGAGACAAACAACCATTCACTCTCTCACTCACACCTAGGGACAATTTTAGAGTTACCAATCAGCCTAACATGCATGTTTTTGGTCTGTAGGAGGAAACCGGAGTACCCGGAGAAAACCCACGCATGCACGGAGAGAACATGCAAACTCCACCCAGAAAGGCCCCTGGACCGGGGTTTGAACCAAGGACCTGCTCGCTGAGAGGCAGCAGCTCTACCAGTTGCGCCACCGTGCTGCCCAAATAATAAACCATTTTTCATTTTGAAAACCTATTTTCATCTGGTTTTAATGTTACTTCCTTGTTTCCTATCTGAGCTGGGTCAAAACAAACAGACTGAGGTTGTTGGCTCTGTTCGCAGTCCTGCTTCTGAAGATGTTAGAGGATGTTAACCTTGTCATTCCCACCCACACATCTCTGATGTTCTTTTGAGGTTTAGCCTCCTGTTTCTGTTTGTATGAGTCTCTACAACTTCTCAGCCCTGCATCCACTCCTTGCTGTATTTTCCTCATCAATCTTTGTTGCCAAACCTGAGAACCATCATTATTTGGAGCTTCAGGTGGCTGGTAATGCAAGGCTTGTGGTCTCTCTGATCGGTTTGTGCATGTAATGCTTCAGACAAAGGCCAATAGTGCTGAACACTGAGCATCATCAAATATTTATGTGGACAAAAACTATCAGATGAGTTTCTGCCAAACTAAACTTATATTGTAAAAATAATATTGAGTTTTTCCAATCATGTTGTTGGTGTGAAACATTCTGTGGGTTTGCTGGACTCAGACCATGTTCACGTGGTTCTGTATGGGTGTAAATGCCTACAGTGAAACAGTATCACCACATTTCAACTTACAGAACTGATGTCTGTTAAAGCCAAGGTAGAGTTGTTAGAGGTTTTACTTGGTGCTGAAGATGGGGTGAAGGGGTCTTTTCCACTGAATGGGTCTCCTGGTCCTTTTTTACTTTGGAATGGGTCAGTGACGTCAGAAGTGAATGACTGGAAGGGGTCACATGGTTTGGAAGAGTCCGTGGTGCCAGTCAAACTCACTGGTGTTGTTTTACCTGAAAACATCAAAGATGCAAGAAAACATAAATTTAGACATCAGCAGCAAACATCGGACTTACAGAAAGTTTAAAAACACAAATAACCTGTATCACAAGACAAATAAACTGATACTTTAAGCTAAATTGTTCTTGAAAAGTGATTCAATTAAAAGCAATAATACAATGTATATTTGCATGCCCTTAGTAAGTGATAGAGCAAACACGATTGGGAAAAAGCAACTTTATTTTACAAATATATGGAAAATTAGTATGAACACATTTGTTGGTACCCTTGAATAGACTAATATTATTTTACCTATTGTCATGTTTCACATTGAATAACTGGCTTTAGAGTAGTCACTGGGTAGTTGTTTCATATGGGATGCACCGATCCACTTTTCTCACTTCTGATACTGATATCTTAGGTTTAGTATTGGCCGATACCAATCTGATACAGAAAAACTGTGCTGAATTCCGTTCAACAAACTCAGCGTGCTCTTTAGGGTGAAATCTCTGGAGATACTTGATTAAGTTGGTAGTGTTATAACTGGAAGTTTTAGTGACACCCCCTGGAACCGTCGCTGTGCACGTATTGCACGTAGCTGTCGAATGTGTTGGCTGAGGTAGTGTGAAATAGTTCCAGATGGCTGATCCTTTCACTCGCTCCATTTTGAAAACAATCTGTGCGGTGAGTTCGCTTGCGCGTGACGTCACTCAGAGCACAAAGCATAGAATTAGCAGGGGTGTCAAACTCCAGACGTCGAGGGCCAGAGTCCTGCAACTTTTAGATGTTGCACTGGTCCATAACACCTGAATCATATGACTGAATTAGCTTCTCAGTGCAGTCACGTTCTCCAAAGTCCTGCTAATGACCTCCTTATTTGATTCAGCTGTGTGGCATCAGAGACACATCTAAAAGTTGCAGGACTGGCCTGGAGTTTGACACCTGTGAATTAGAGTGAATAGATATGCCCAGTCATGGATCGGTCACATTGTCACCGATACCCAATTTAGACGTTTTTTTTTTCAATATCCGGACCGATACCAATATTTGTATCAGATCGGTGCATCTCTAGTTTCATATTGTTGTGTGGACATTATGCGAAACCAGCTACTAGGGAGAACAAGCCAATGTATCTCTTGTGCCAGTCTCAAGCCTGGGTAAGTGTCCTTGGGTGTCATGAAAGGCGCTTTTTAAATAAAATGATTATTATTATTTATTATTATTAAATGGTGAAGGTTGTGTCAGGAAGGGCATCTGACGTAAAACCCTTTTGCCAAAACTAATATCACTATTGCATCTAAGCGACATCATACCAACAACAGAACACGGCTCAGGTTAAGATCGGAGAAGCCGTTCCTCCCAGTCACACCCCTCCAGGTCACACTGTCGTTACCCACATGAGCATTGAAGTCCTCCAGCAGAATAAATAAGTCCGCAGCTGGAGCACCTTCTGGCACCCCCGCTAAGGGCTCAAGAAGGCGGGGTACACTGAACTGCTGTTTGATACATAGGCACAAACGACAGTGGGGACTAAGAGCAGATCCACACCAGCTCAGCTCCTCTCAATAAGGGAAACTCCAGGGCAGAATAAGGTCCAGCCCCTCTGAAGGAGATTGGTTCCAGTGCCCATGCTCTGCATTGAGATGAGCTCAACTATATAGTCGGTACCACGCAGCCTCAAGCACAGTCTCAGGCTCCTTCCCCACCAGTTTCATGTCACAAGAGCCAGCTTTTGTGAACCTAAATCAGAGTGCTAAGGCCCTGCCTTCAGCTGTCGCCTGTTGTATAATGCACTCCACTTGATTGACCCTTCCTGCAGGTGGTGGGCCCACATGAAGGCAAACCCATGTTGCTTGTTCGGGTTGAGCCTGTCTGGGCCCCATGGGTAGAAACCCAGTCACCAGGCACTCACTGACAAGATCCTCCCTAAGGCCTGACTCCAGGATGGAGGCCCTGTTAACCCACATACGGACAAAAATACTGAGGTCCTTGCTTTTGTCTGTTCATACGAGTGTTATGAATTGTTCTTTGTCTGGACTGTCACCTAGGACCAGTCTGCCTTGGGAGACTCTACCAGGGGCATTTGCCCCTGACAGCATCACCCCTAGGATTATTCAGGCGAACAAACACCTCCACCACAATAAGGTGGTGATTCAAGGAGAAATGGTATAGAATATATATAATAAAAATATTGTTTCTGACAGTAATAAAAGTTATACTTTTCACAATAGTTATCACCAATAGGTGAAAGGTGGACAATAATATTTTTGCAGTGGCGATGTATGTGTATTTGCATGTCTGTCTATTATCAAAGTATCATAAAATATTAGAAAAATAAACACAAAACTGTCTATATTCAGTCAGTTTTCAAGCTAATGACCTTAAGTTTGGTGTGGTAGTAGCTGAGGGTCATTCACAACACACTCTGAATATTTCTGAGACTCCAATTCTCAACCTGAAACTCTGGCTTGAAAGGTGACCAGGGATATGCATTTATTCATGGAATAAAAGGCTTTTATAAGCTGGTCACTGT